TCGTATGCTAAAGCTTTTCTAAATGTTAAGTATCATTTCCTTAGACCATGAGATTGTGCAACTCCCGGATACCGTAGGAGTGCTTTGGGTGTGCCAAACGTCACAACGTAACTGGGTGGCTATAAAGGTACACTACAGGTATCTCCGAAAGTGTCTGTTGGGTTGGCACGAATAGAGACTGGGATTTGTCACTCCGTGTAAATGGAGAGGTATCTCTGGGCCCACTCGGTAGGACATCATCATAATGTGCACAATGTGATCAAGGAGTTGATCACAGGATGATGTGTTATGAAAGGAGTAAAGAGACTTGTCGGTAACGAGATTGAACAAGGTATCAGGATACCGACGATCGAATCTCGGGCAAGTATAGTACCGATAGACAAAGGGAATTGTATACGGGATTGATTAAGTCCTTGACATCGTGGTTCATCCGATGAGATCATCGTGGAACGTGTGGGAGCCAACATGGGTATCTAGATCCCGCTGTTGGTTATTGACCGGAGAGTCATCTCGGTCATGTCTGCATGTCTCCCGAACCCCTAGGGTTTACACACTTAAGGTTCGGTGACGCTAGGGTTATAGAGATATTAGTATGCGGTAACCCGAAAGTTGTTAGAAGTCCCGGATGAGATCCCGGACGTCACGAGGAGTTCCGGAATGGTCCGGAGGTAAAGAGTTATATATGGGAAGTCTTGTTTTGGTCGCCGGACAAGTTTCGGGGTCACCGGTATTGTACCGGGACCACCGGAAGGGTCCCGGGGGTCCACCGGGTGGGGCCACCTGCCCCGGGGGGCCACATGGGCTGTAGGGGGTGCGCCTTGGCCTGTATGGGCCAAGGGCACCAGCCCCAAGAGACCCATGCACCAAGAGATAAGGGAAAGGAAGAGTCCTAAAAGGGGAAGGCACCTCCGAGGTGCCTTGGGGAGGATGGACTCCTCCCTGGCCGCACCCTTCCTTGGAGGAAGGGACAAGGCTGCGCCCCCCCTCTCCCTTGGCCCTATATATAGTGGGGGGAAGGGAGGGCAGCAACACCTAAGCCCTGGCGCCTCCCTCTCCCTCCCATGACACATCTCCCTCCTCCCGCAGCGCTTGGCGAAGCCCTGTTGGAATCCCGCTACTTCCACCACCACGCCGTCGTGCTGCTGGATCTTCATCAACCTCTCCTCCCCCCTTGCTAGATCAAGAAGGAGGAGACGTCGCTGCTCCGTACGTGTGTTGAACGCGGAGGTACCGTCCGTTCGGCGCTAGGATCATCGGTGATTTGGATCATGACGAGTACGACTCCATCAACCCCGTTCTCTTAACGCTTCCGCGCGCGATCTACAAGGGTATGTAGATCCACTCCTCCCTCGTTGCTAGATGACTCCATAGATAGATCTTGGTGACACGTAGAATTTTTTTGAATTTATGCTACGTTCCCAACATCGAGTGTCTTGAAGTCAGGGCGTTCTTGAATCATCAGGGCTAGGGTGTCAAACGAGCTGTAAAGTGATCTCAGGAGTGTCTTGACGACTTCATACTTGGTGATCTCAGTAGTGCCGAGGGCTTGAAACTCATTTGTGATGTCAGTGAGTCGATCAAACGTGAGTTGAACATTCTCATTGTCGTTTCTCTTTAAGCGGTTGAAGAGGTTGCGAAGGACACTGATTCTTTGATCTCTCTGGGTTGAGACGCCTTCATTGACCTTGTAGAGCCAATCCCAGACTAGCTTGGATGTTTCCAGAGCACTCACACGGCCATACTGTCCTTTGGTCAGATGACCACAGATGATGTTCTTGGCAGTGGAATCCAGTTGAACGAACTTCTTGACATCAGTAGCGGTGACACCTTCACCAGCCTTGGGGGCGCCATTCTTGACGACATACCAAAGATTGACATCAATGGCTTCCAGATGCATGTGCATCTTATTCTTACAGTAGGGATATTCAGTTCCATCGAAGACTGGGCATGCAGTGCAGACTTTGATTATCCCTGCAGTCGACATAGCTAAAACTCCAGGTGGTTAAACCGAATCACACAGAACGGTACCTTGCTCTAATACTAATTGAAAGTGCTAGTGATCGACTAGAGGGGGGGTGAATAGGCGATTTTTATGTAAGTCTTCAAAACATGGAGGTTTCGAAGACAAACGATAGAAATAAACCTATTACCATGCAGTGGAAGGTAGACTACACTAAGCAAGCCATAGTCAAGTATTCAATGAAATGAAAGCACAAAGGCTAATAGCAGCTAGGCAGTATAGATCAGGATGGAAGATAGTATGAAGCCAATCAGAACAAGCAGTCACACAGTGAAGACAAATAGATAATGCAAACAGGCAATGACTTCACAAGGACCAATCTGAAAATAAAGAGATGGGAAGGATAGAACCAGTGGCTTGTTGAAGACAATGATTTGTTGGACCAGTTCCAGTTGCTGTGACAACTGTACGTCTGGTTAGGGAGGCTGAGATTCAACTCAGAAGACCGCGTCTTCACCTTATTCCCCTTGAGCTAAGGACACCCAGTGCTCGCCCAATTACTCTAGTAAGTCTTCAAGGTAGACTTCCAAACCTTCACAAACTTCGTTCACCAGCGATCCACAATGACTCTTGGATGCTCAAAACGCGACGCCTAACCGGCCGGAGGATTCACAGTCCTCAAGTGTAATAAGTCTTCAGATCACACAGACAAGAAGACTTAAGTGATGCCTAACACTCTTTGGCTCTGGGTGTTTAGGGCTTTGTCCTCGCAAGGATTTCTCTCTCAAAGGCTTCGAGGTGGGTTGCTCTCAAACGACAAAAGCCATGCACTAACTCTGAGCAGCCAACCAATTTATGGTGTAGGGGGTGGGCTATTTATAGCCACTAGGCAACCCGACCTGATTTGTCCGAAATGACCCTGGGTCACTAAGGAACTGACACGTGTTCCAACGGTCAGATTTCAAACACACACGACAACTTTACTTGAGCTACAAGCAAAGCTAACTTTATCCAGCTCTGGATAAGATTTGCTCTCATTGTCTTCGCTCGAAGACATAGGATTTTGGTTAAGCGTCACTTCAGTCATTCTGACTGGTTTACTTGGACCCCACTTAACAGTACGGTGGTTCCTATGACTCAACAAAGAAGAAAAAGAACGACGAAACAACTAAGTCTTCACGCTCCATAGTCTTCACGCGATGTCTTCTCTTGTCATAGTCTTCAATGTGAATGTCTTCACATACCACCTTTGACTTCAATGTCTTCATACATTTTTAGGGGTCATCTCTGGTAGGAAAACCGAATCAATGAGGGACTTCTACCTGTGTTATCCTGCAATTCTCACAAACACATTAGTCCCTCAACCAGGTTTATCGTCAATACTCCAAAATCAACTAGGAGTGGCACTAGATGCACTTACAATATCAAAGAGTCGTGTGCAAATAAAAGATGAGAAATAGAGGGGGCGCATTTATGCAAACTTTTATACCTTCAACCCCCCCAACTTCCTCCTCACGGGAAAGCATACTTGAAAGGCCTTTCGAACTCAACAAGAACAGATACGGGGAGAGTGGGTCTCCCTTCTCAGTCCTCTTGTTGGGAGGAATTCCTCAGTCTCGGCATCATTAAATCTAACTCCGTAGCTGACCGAGGAAACACACTCCATAATTAGGTCCGCCCATTGCACATGAAGTTCCATCCTCATCATCATGGCCTTCAAAAATCTCCATTCTACTCTGCCATAAGCTTTCGTCATATCCAACTTCATTGGCCCTGTTTGGATACATGAGTAGAGTTAGTTTGAGCTAGTTTGAGCTCGAACAGCCCTAAAGTACCCAAACACGAGGGCTAGTTTGAGCTAGTTACATCTAACCCACCTCTTTGAGTAGAGTTAGTTTAGGGTTAGTCATGAGCTAGAAACTAACTCTAACCTCTAGCTAAGTTAGAGTATCCAAACGGGGTCGTTGCACTGTAGCCATTAGAACCATGGATTTTCTTCTTTATTGCATGAAAGCACTCGTATGCTACCAACACTTTATCTGTGATAAGGCAGGCACAAAAGCACTATGTGTTAGAGAAATCACCCAAAGAAGATTTTTTAAGCCTATTTGCTATCATCCTAGAGATAATCTTATACGCCGCATTGCAAAGATCTATGTGTGGTCAGACACCAACCAAACACATCATCGCCAGGCTGAATTTTTTCTCATCTCATGTCCACACCAGGCGACAACGGACTACCAGCATGAGGCCGAGGACTCTGATCCAATCACACCCTACATCTCATGCTACACACTTGAGTTATCCCCGATGAATGCTGAGAACATGTCGAAGTTGTGAGTTGTGGCTACTGAAAGTTTCTTGTTCTTTCTGTTTGAATAATACTCTTCTCGTCTAATAATATAAGAACGTTTTTGACACTAGCGTTGCTCTTGTGCTGCACAGGTGTACAACATTGAAAGCGTTGTGAATATGGGTGGTGACGTTCGTAGTGCTCCTTTGTTGGGTGTGGTAAAAACAACAACATCCGAGGCTGCCAGTTGTTTCTCTGACTGACATGTGGGTCCCCAACGACTACGAGCGCCACTTACGGGAAGGCGAGCCGGAAGCTCACCCCACGTTTACACGCACGCGCTTCTCCCTCTTCTCCCCCTCGAGGAAAGAAACAAGAACCCAACCCCGAGCAGCGAGTACCAAACGCAGGCACAATGCAGTGAGCAATCAATGATCCTCCCTCCCTCCCGGCGCCGTAGAGGAAGCAGAATAATAAGCAGGAGCGTCCGTCCTTCCGGCGAAGCCACGCGGCCTCCACCGGGCCGGTTTCTTCTCTTGGTACGGAAGCCCTAACCTTTTCCCCCCTCCCTTGAAAAAATCGCAAGAACCTGCATTTCCCCCCTCTTTTCACTAGGAATCTTGGGGGTTCCCGCGTTTGGTCATTTGCTGAAGCGAGACAGTCGATTTCTACTCTATCCAGTGGATAAAACTCGAATTAATCTTTGCCGTGGTACTATGCCCGTGCACCTACAGACTATCGGCGCTCATGGCAGAGACCGGAGATGCAAGCAGCGACTGGCTTGCGCGCCTCTCTGGACTCGGTTCATATGTTTGCTCCAAGATGAACTACCACGAGTACTGCAGCCATGAATACAACGGCATCCACAGCGCGCTTCACAGAGTCCTCGAAGAAAAGGAGAAGGTGGAGCAAGAACACAAGGGTAACCGCTGCTCTGTTTGCTTAGGATCCTCATATATTGTTTGCCCTGTAACACCATTTCTCTGAAGGCAAAGTTTTAATCCTAGCCATCAAATCGAACAGCCAACGTTGCTCCAATGATGTTTATTCCAATCAGTTATCTGTTATCTGAAGCCCCCAAATAGTTACCAGTCAATCCTACCAATCTGTAATTACTCGCATGTTTAGAAATCTCCTGTCACACACGCAAACAAAACTGTGCATTGCACTTGCACTAGTGATAAGAAAACCGTGGCATCATTCGTACCATTTTGATAATATCATGGACAGCAAGGCTTCAACTCGTCGCTGCAAAGGAGGAGCTCGTTAAAAGGAATGAAGAGCAGGAAGCAGAGATTCAGTCTCTAAAGAGAAAGCTCCAAGCAAGTGAGGCAAGCCATACGCCGGCACAGGGGAGTGGTCGTGAACATAACCAGTCTGGAAGGGTAAGTAAATACTTATCTGTGAATGTGATAATTCTAAGTCAATGTGTTCAGTGATCTGATTTGTTATCATACTAGGGATAGTGTGTTACTGGTCTTTACTGCTTCGGAAGAATGTGATGCCATGAATGCTTATAGATTTCGGATGCAGAGGCCGGGGGAAATCCTCCTTTTCCAAAAAAAAAGAATGGTTATAGATCCTTTGCAAGATAGTTCTGCTCATCTGATTACAGCAACTATTTTGCAAAGCAATTATTCTGCACATTTTGAGTTGCACTTTTATGCCTTGTTGGCTCCCTCGTGTCTATGCTCTTTTAGAAGTGTTCTTCATTTTACTGATTGCGACTATCATCTTGTTGGATATTTATGTGAAGTACTGTAAAAATGAGTGCATTTTGGGTCACTCATTGCTAGACTAGTATAGTGAGTGGCCATTCTCTTGCTTTTCCTATTCTGCCATACTTACCCCGCTACATTGCTATAGAAGCAGGTGCAAAGAACGTCAGTGCAGAAAAGAAAACGGCAATCTGAGGGACAAGCTGGTGAAGATGCTGAGGATCATCAGGCTGCGGAAATTCTGTGTGCTATGAACAATCTTGAACAAGGTTTGAGTGCGGAGCTTCGCGATGTTAGAGAAGAGACTTCAAATATCAACGCTGAGCTCATCAAGGTTCAGTCATATCCATAATCATTTTCACCCTTTAATCAACATTAGATGCTACATGCATTCCTGTCACACCATGCGAAAGATTATAAAATTAAAATTGACATCATAAGTTGATGTCCAGGGATTTCTTGATATGGGTGGTGTTGGTAGACAGAATATCTCAGTAAAGTACATGGGGCAGTTGAGTGAGAGGCCATTCCTACTGGCATGCCTTCAGAAGTTTCTCCGCAAAGAAGCCGAGGCAGAAGCTTCTCGGCTGTGCAAATTTTGGCAGGAGCAGCTCATGAACCCAGAGTGGTATCCCTTCAAGACTGACACGGTTGGAGGCATTTCTGAGGTACACTGAGTTCCTGTACAGACTATAGCTTATGGTACGTCGATTCTCGTAGGTGACAAGTTATGTGCTACACTGCTACGTGTGTGATTAGGGGACTATTAATGACGATGACATTAAGCTACAAGAGCTGCGGGCTACATGGGGGGAAGAGTCTTACAAGGCTTTGGTGAAGGCTTTGGTGAATAGTTTCTTGGAGTTAAAGGAATGTGGCAAGCTGAGTGACAGAACCATTGTAGCCCAGCTTTGGAATTTCGAAGAGGACAGGAAGGCCACTCTCAGTGAGAGTGTTGAGTACGTGTGCAACAAAGTGAAGAGCCTCAGCAATGAGAATGTCAGGACCTCGACTCGCGGGTATGTATGATTGTATAAGATTCAGTTTGTTAAGTGCGCCTTTTGCTAGAATCATACAGGCATACAGCGCCACCGGTCCTGATTCGATTGGAGCATTAAAATCGTAGTTGTAGGTTTCTGTATCTATATAATCAGCTAAATGAAACAAACATCCTACTGATCCAGTATATTCAATGGCCTTTTTAAAGGCATGGTAGTGGTACAGAGACTTTATTATATGGCCAAGGAAACACATACTTTCTTGGGTGTATATACCGGGAAATGGGACTTGATGATGCATGCAAACTTGGTTATAACTAATACTAATGTGAATTCACACAAAAAATCATTGGAACTTGTTTCTGTATGTGCAGGAAAAGGGGCCGTTGTGTTGGACGAGCATGAAGACACTAACGAAAAGAATAGGTGCTCTACTTTGAACTTTTAAAGACGCTATTATGAGTCATTGTACCTTTTAAGAAAGTGTTTTCTGTATAAAAAATGATCTTAAGCTGAGTCCAGAAAGAACATTTCAACTGAAATTTTGGTGTCCATCTCATGGTAACCTCAGTAGCAATGCAGGCACAAGTGCCTTAGTTGATGCTGTCGTATCTTGCCGATAGATTGTCCCTGTCCAATGAATTATCACCATGCCAATTTTATTTTAAATTGTGCAGGGAACTTACTCAGGCCGGCGGTATCTGGATACAAAACGTAGAAACACTAACTCATGGTGAAGAAACTGAAGACTAAAGAACCTGACCTTAGCAAGGAAGGAAACCCCCAAAGACCATATAGCAGAGCTATGGTTTCGATGTTTTCTTCTATCCGTTTCAAACTATCTAGAATGACCTTGTTCCTTGTGGTACTCGGCATGTTTTGAATCTCATCTCAGCTTCAGTATTGTGTTAAGCTCGAACTAACTATGGATTTTCACATGAACGGCTGAATGTCGGTTGCATAATAGATTTCATCTGCCTTTCATCAGTAAACCTGAATAGCATAATAGTACTCTCTCCGATCCAAAATAAGTGTCTCAGCTTCGAACTAAGGTTAGTTCAATCCTAGTTCAAAGCTGCAACACTTTTTTTGGATCGGAGGGAGTACGATATATCATTGGACGACTATTGGTTGCGAACACGTGCTGTTTTCCAGGGAAAACGTCAGGGTAGTTGCATGTTGCAGAAGTTGTGGTGTTTTCCTTTTCGTGGTAGTTTTGCCTGTCCCTGTCGTGTTTTTTTAGATGAACACGGAGCAGATCGTCGTGTTTGTCAAAGTGGTTGCTGGAGTTTATTGCACAGATGCTATAAAAATGTTGCACCCCGAACTTCTGGGTATTCGACTCAGATGGGAAATATCGACCCAACTAAGCAGTGGCCGCATTTTTTCTCACGAACAGCCCTGGTGATTGCCTTGCCCCCTGTCCTTCTAGTGCACATTTCCTGAAAACGACTAGCGATTGAAAATGACAGAGAGCTGATAGCATCCAATTCTTACAGGAGAGGTGTAGTTGCACAAGTCAGAACTCCAATCAGATACCACGACAGAGAGGAAAGCGAGGCACATCTTCTCGAATCTCCAATGCTTTAGCTTGAAGCGAAGATCCTAACCAGGGAAGTTTACTGACGGAAGCCTACTGACTTATGTGTCCCCATAAAAAAAAAAGGCCCGAATAACGCGCCAACAGCAGCTCAGGGAGGTTATCCGAGCGAATCCGCGTTCAGCGTTTGTACCCTCAAAAAACCACTTTCACTCATGCTAAAACAGATATATTTGCCATGCTATTGTATAAAGATGTGTCGTGTTGTAAAGAAAAAATTGCCATGCTAGCAGAAAAATTGTCGGGATTTATTTTCAGGGAATTGCAACAATGCAACATGGAGAATTGTCAGTCTAAAAAGAAAAATTTCAACTTGTTCCGATATGCCATGCTGGCAGAAGGAAATTTTCATCCTACATCTAAGAAAAACTGGTGGAGATTTTCATGCTCTAAAAACAGAATTTATCATCTCGAATGTGTTCGCTAAAATCGTCATCTTGAGCGAACCCTTTAGTGTCGCCAGCTTGTAGTTTACTCAGAAGGATGCATGTGAGCGAACAATGACTAACACATGTCATGCTTAGTTGCTTTGATATTCGTACATGGGAAATGAACGGGCAGCATGTTCGCTCACAAAAAAGAAATCTTAGCTCACGTCTCACTTAGGAAAAAGAAAAGACTTATGTGTCCTTTCCCCATTAATCCCACCTGATTTCCACGCAGAGCCCTCCTCCCTTAAAAATGACATATCCCTCTACCCGAGCCTCTAATATATTTCTGTAGAAAATATTCTGTAGGTGTAGCACATCTCAATTTGAAGAATGTAATGATTTGCTACGACATTGTAGCCAATTCATAAATATGAATAATACTATGACGTGGCCCCCATGGTGCCATGTTGAATGAGTGCCAATACCACTAAAAAAACTTTAACCTTTAGAGGCAGCGTTAGCCACAGAGCATGCAAGTTCCAACTATTTACAAATACACTATGAAGTCTGATTCTATGATTTCCCCGTTGTGAATGAACCACTAGATAGCCCATCTCTTGTAAGGCTTGATTTTACTGACTATAGTGATTGTTGGGCTTTAATTTATTGAATAATTAAAGCCCAGCAACCACTAGTCAGTACCCGCCCCACTCCCCTCCCCCCTCCCCCCTTCAACTTTGTTTGAGCCTTTGAATCTTTGGTAGGATGGAGTTGTGCCGTCTGATTTGGGCCATGTGTCGAGTAATTCTTTTTCTTATAATGAAATTTCTCCAGTCTGTGAGTATGTTGGTCCCGCATAGTACTGGTCCCATAGGGACACTGACAGAGAATGCCGCAGTGGCCTCTAGACCTAGGTGATTGTGGCGGGAGTGACGATTGGAGGAGATAAAATGAGGAGATGGCCATTGGGGGACCTTCAGACCTGGTCAATGGCGGTAGAAGTCAATTGTTAGGGATGTGCAGGGATAAAGTAGGCCACAGAGAGCTCGATAACTAGGCGGTGGCCGACATATAATTGACAGTACAAATGGCAGCCCGCTGTAGAAGGGAGAAAAGAGAGAGAGAGGATGGCGGGTTGTGGCAGGGAGAGTTGGTGTACGAGGTGGTGATGGCATCCATCCATGGTGGGCGCCATGAAGCGATCTTGGAGAGAGGAGGGTTAATCAAGGAGTACATATGTATTTCAAGATTATACAAAGAAATTGCATATCCTGGATGTATTTTTCATCAATTCGCGGGTGATGGTGAAATGGCCAGGAGTATGCAACTTACAATTAAAAGGTCCTGGATTCATCTAAGCTAAAGAGGAAGGGTCATGATAATGTTGTTGAGGAGCTTAACCACCCACTGTTACAATCTGCCATACAATTCCACCCACTTATTAATGTTCCTCCTTAACATCGCAAATCATCCCTCCACCCTCGGCCAAGTTCATTATACTGTAAGAAAAATTAGGGCAATGCTACATCCACGCAAAGTTACACATGTTTACGAGGGATTGCTCAGTTGGCGTTTTTTCATTGGAAATGAGAGGGAAGGAGGGACCCCACCGTTGAAATTGGGGGGGGGGAGGGGAGGATTAGAAGGAACGTTACGTAGCTTATTCGTAACAAGTTTCGTAGGTGGAGCTAAGGATGGCAATGGGTCAGATTTGGATCGGATTGAACAATACAAATCCATATCCATATCCATGAAGAAAGTCTTTGCCCGTCCATGAAAAATTCCACGGGTGAAAAATTGTATCCATGTCCAAACCCGATGGATATTCATTGGGTCCTTCTCAAGACATATAAATAAGACATAACACAACGTTAACATAAGCTCTTCCATTCTTGTACTCGTGGCAGTCTAGGCTTCATTTATGGTAAATCAATGTCCACTAACAACCTAAAATCATTTAGTATTTTTCTAACAGATGAAAATGATGAGTCATTTAACAAGGTGATAAAAATAAGGGAAGGGGCGTTAGAGTATGTTACGGAGGGGATTGAATGTCAACTAATAAAAGTTACGACGAGGATTGTGTATTTACTTTTGCATGTTTTAGATAACAAAGTGTAAAATTACAGTGGGACATATGACTGTGGGGTAGGGATAGCAAATTTTAGCCCATTAAGTCATACTATCGGGTCGACTTTGGGTATACCCACGGGTACACGATTATATTCATGCCCTAGCCACGAGCAATTGGGTCGGGTTTAGGCACCGCCCATGAACACAAAAGCATATCCAAATCATATTCATTTGGGTCGGATATCCATGCCCATGGATAAAATTGTCATCCTGAGGGGAGCATTATTAGAAAAGTTATTATGATGCTAACTTACTGGTTTATATTATATAAAGACCATTTGTTTGAAAATATACAAAAAAAAATCATTCAATTACGTCCGTCTCATTTTTTATCGCAGGTCATTTTTAGTTTCCACCGATACTATTTTAATTAACTTTTAACGCGCCCCCTTTGCGCAAGCATCTGGTAACACTCCTTGCCCCCTCGGCTCAGTTCGAAATTATTTCTCTCCCCCTTTCCATGGCAGGGCAGGGCATCCTAAATATAAATTGGCCATTATAATCCCGTCAGGCCATCTCCCTCTCGCCCCCGTCATTCTCCTTTTCCTTTGTGGCTTGCGCAACGGGCGAGGCGAGGCGAGGCGTGGTGCCGGAGGAGGCGAAATATAGCCACCCTCTCCATCCAACCCACCCCGCCCCCGATTGCTTTGCACCGCCGGAACCTCGCCCCTCCCCGCCGACCGCCATAACCGCAAGGTACTAATGCCTCCTCCCGCTCCCGCTCCCCCTCTGTTCCTCCGTGCCCGCCCGCCCGCCGCTCGTCGAATTTTCCCCGCCGATCGGTCCTGCCCCGCCGCAAAAATCGTGGGGCGCGACGTGGCTCCGAGGCGCGCCTCGCTTTCGTCCCGGCTCCTGCTTCCGGTTGCCACGTTCGGGATACGGCGAGGTCTGGGGGTCGGTCGTGGCGGCGTAGGCCTGTTCGTCGGTGGGATTGATGGCTCCGATGATGGGAGTTTCGGGCGTCGATCGCGTGCCTCCGCCGCCCGTGCGCAATGCGACGGCGGGAGGTTTCGCCTGTTTTTTTCGCCGTTTCCTCGGATTTTTGGTTTCGGTTATTATCGGTCGCGCGCGGCGGCGTGCCTGCCTTCCGGGACTCGGGGCTGTTTCCTTTTGATCGCTGTGGTGTTTTCTTCCGGGCGACGGCGCGTGCCATTGTCGTCCGGGCATCGATTCGGTGCCCCAATTGGTCGCAACGTGCGGATGTTTTTTTCCGAGCTGGCGGTTTGAATGACGCCTCAAAAGGTTGCCCCTCTTGCGCACCTTTTCCGACCCCCATCCCCTGTATTCATCTTGACTCCTTCGTGCGCTTTGTGCGTTGCCTTATTTAGTCAGGTTTGTGGACGTATCTTCTCCGTGTTACTCATCTTCGAGTACCATTTTCCTGCGAGTTGTGCGCGTGATTACAAGTGCCACACGCTGTTATGAGTTGTTTTGGATTCGATACATTCTCCAATATAGTACCTGAATTTTAGTGTTTAGAGGGATGGCTGTCAAGCATGCAATTAGCTGCTATCGTTTTGGATTCGTAGCTGTTTATGGGGACCTCAATGACTATCTTACTTAAACTGTGGCTCTAGCAATTGTTAATAGGATCCATTCATTGGCTTCGGCACTACGTCGTTGCTTTATTCACAGCTTCCAGTCTTCCAGTATAGTGTATAGACTCAATCTTTGGTGCATGCTTCTGCTTGCTATTTTATTCTGGTGAAAGTGACACATGACAGGGATTGATTATTTATTTGGCTTCAGCTTCTTCATGTGGTCGGATTCGTGTACTTTACCATTATGCATTCAAGTGACAGTTGGGTGTTGTACTTCATGGAATGGAAGACTATTCCGAGTACTGTTTAGCAATGACCCATATCTTGGTTCTTCTTCTACGGTCAACTGGATGTCACAAAAACTATCTTTAATCTTAGCGTGGGCATTTTATAATTCTGGCTTCTCTATGGCTCAAAATGTACCTTGTTATGTGACTTGTCTCTTTCGTCAGGCTGCTGAGTCAAGATATAGGAATTGATGGATCTGTCCACAACCTCTGTTATGGCGGCTAAGGCCTACTCGTACAAAGCAGAGTCACTGGTTAAGGAATACCTTCTTGCAGATGCATATGTTTCGTACACTGCTATGCTTGGTGGGATCCTGATGTGCAAGATGGTATTATTTTGCCCCCCTCTTATTTGTTGACATTTACGATCATGTCACCAGTGAATTTAGTGATGCTCACATGATTCATGTATCTAGATGGAAGAAACAAATAGATGTTAGTTTTATTGCATTTTTGCTTAACTTCACTATGTGAAAATTGTGGACTACCGAACACCATTTGTACTATATATGGCTGTTAGTATAAGCAGGTTTCTGTAAAGAACTAATGTAGGATATGCAAATTCTCAGTTTAGCCTGAGATCTAATTAGGAATATGTCGATGGCTACCCACCACATCCGATCCTAAGCCGCGGATGCATCTGAAATCGGTTGAAGTAATGTAAGGTTTAAACTCACATACAAGCTGTGATGAATTTTCAGATTAGAGTCATGCAATAGATTTAACAGTTTGTTTTGGCTTGTAACGTTTTTGTTTTTGTTTAGTATGAGCAGTTAAATTCGGATACTCAATACAAGATTTTCAAAACCAAGCATGTTACGGTTTAGCAAACAAAAATTAACCTAATCCTATCAATATATTAACCATTTTTAATCAATATTTGGCTACCATGGGAAACAGAAGTTGAATCACAATGTATATTTGTTTTTAATCTGTATTATACAGGTTGGCCTCAGTGTATTACCATATATGTTTAATACCGCAATAATTTCCTATTATTTGCCCTTTGTGTGTGTCTGTGTATGCCAGGATCCCTTACAATACCTTGTGTACCATTTGTATCCTTTAGGCAATAGTGGTATGTATATGTAGTAAGTTATTAACTATTCTGCGAGAATGGCGTTTTGGCTTTCGGCCTCCAAGGAGGCCGATTTAAAAAAAATCAAAAAATTACGTATGTGCGACGTATGTGCGTAAATTTTTTTTGTACAAGTAAACAAGGATGTGAGACGTATGTGCGTAAAATTTCAGGATGAAATACGTTGAAAAGCGGCCTGTACAACAAAGACAAATTCATGGTCTGAGAAGATGAATAGTACCATGTTTAAAAAGCCCCAGATTTGTCTTCTTTGCACAGCCCTCATTTCAACGTATTTCATCCTGAAAATTTACACACTTGTGCACTATGCCTTCATCTATCTCTGTATTGTTTTCAAATTTTTTTGAAATGTAAAAATATGAATTTTCATGATTTTTGAATTTTGCATTTGGAGGCCTCCATGGAGCTCGGCCTCCAAAAGCAATTTTCACTATTCTGCGATGTAACAAAGTAGATAGCAGCATGCAGATGATAATCATCACTTCTAGCATTGTTTTCAGAGTTTGACTTTTCAAAACCCTTTGCACTATCCACACTGCAACCTATGATTTTCTCTTGTTTTATTTTACATTTATGTTAACCCTGAAATTCTTGCATGGAACAAGTTATGATTGATCTCTATGTACCAGAACTCTAGCTACTTTCTTGGCTACAAATTTCCTTTTGGTTTGCAGATCTATGACATCACACACTTAGTCAGTTCATTCTTCTACAAGTGTTATGCTTCTCTTACAAAAGCCCAAAAGCTTGAGTGGAACAACAGGTGAAGCCATCTGTCTGCAAAATTTATGTCCAATTTCACCATGTGCTTATTGACATATCTACTCACGACCGATCTTTTACCTATTCTAGGGGCATCTCCACTGTCCATGCAATTTTCATCACATTCATGTCAGTGTACCTAGTATTCTTTTCCGACCTATACTCTGATAAGCTGGATGGACCAGTAACTTTCCGGAGTTCAAACCTCTCTAATATTACACTAGCGGTAAAGTACTATTTTGTTCCCATTCAAGAAATGACTATGTTGGCATGCATTGTCTATTTGCCTCATATCGGCTTAATTTCATTTGTCCAGGTATCTGTTGGGTACTTCATCACTGACATTGCAATGATATTTTGGGTTTATCCTTCTCTAGGTGGAATGGAGTATGTAAGTGCCCTTATGTGATATTTCTGGGTTGCATCCTTGACACACGTGTTAATATTCATTGTATTTGTTCAATTATCATTGCTGCATTTTTTGTATGTATTATTCATTACGGGTTGATCATTGCCAGGTTCTTCATCACTTCCTGTCACTTGTTTCCATAGTCTATTCTGTGAATTCTGGGGAAGGCCAGTTGTATACATACATGGTTCTCATCTCTGAAGGAACCACACCTGGAATCAACCTCCGCTGGTATTTGATTTGATTCAATGAATGCACAATATTTCTGGGTCATTATTGTTATTTCATTCGATCTGATCTTTCCTGTTACCTTCTGTTATGAAGGTATCTTGATACTGCTGGACTGAAAAGATCCAAGGCCTATGTTGTGAACGGTAGCTTAATGGTTGTTGCATGGCTGGTAAGTGGAAGTTTCTACAAAGTAGTTATAGAATGCACGTTATTTTTCACGCAACTGACCACAAGTTAATTAGTCCTCACTCTTCAGTATGCCTCAATGTGTGCATACATGAATGAGCATTTCAAATTGTATACCCAGTTCAAAAAAATAATTTTGTTGAATTTGCTTCAAGCTAAGGTTTGTCAACTGTTTTATACACTCTATTCCACTATTCCCTTTTAAAAATTGCAGCTAGTGGAATACCTCAAGCTTTGTAATAGATGGTTTTTTGTATTATGTTTGTGTTCTGTATAACTCACATTGGACATTTGCTAACTCGGCTTGGGGAATGGGATACAGTATTAGCAATTGGTCTTGTGATTTACAGAAACTTATCGTACAAGTTGAAATATTAATGCTATTATACCCCCAGATGTTTCTGTGCCGAGGCCATGCTGTAATTTTAGTTTAACTATGCTCTCTTCAGTAGGTTATCCCTAGGTTCTTTGGTTTTGTCTTTGGTTTTTGTTTCTTGCTAGGCCCTTGTGTGTTCCTGTTTCTGATTCCATTTTTTTCTTTTGGCTTGCTTTACTTTGGTCATGCTTTACCACAATTTTCTCTCTAACATAGTCAACCATTTGTGTAATACAGGTGGCACGGATAATTCTCTTCATCTACTTGTTCTACCACATCTACTTCCACTATGATGACGTAATTCCTACTTCTGTTCCAGCACATAACTATGTGGCAAATATCACATCGATGATTCTGACACTAAGTTTGATCTGAATTATTGACAGGTGATGCAGATGCGGACCTTCAGCCGCGTTCTGATATTTGGCGTGCCCACAATACTACTCATCATGAACACGATATGGTTTGCAAAGATCTTGAGAGGCCTTAAAAAGACGCTAACCAAGAGGGAGTGAAGAGGAGAAGAATAGCAGATGCAAGCTCATGGCGGCCCATCTACAAAAACCATCATCCTGCCTTACAGTCACATAAAACTACATATACTCCCCGAGCAAAACTAGATAGTGCGACTCGCAGCACAAGCTAAAATCCCATGTACATAATCCAGAAGTATGCTTGAGCACGGCCTCAAATTTTCCACGGATATTCTCCGTCTTGTACATATACCGGTCTGGATATTGCTTAGGAAGCTTCAAACTGCATGTGCATTGGATGCTTCTAAGCCCCCCTCGACCACTGACACTGAGATAGTCGTCGGTCATCAAAAGTGACATTTGAAAGGTTGAAATCTGGCATCTGTTTTTAGTTACGACTTACGACTCTCAGGAATGTGAAAGCTGGTATTGTTCTTGACTTCTGAATCTGAATTGTAATGTTTCATTCTCTTATCATTGCAAGGAAACCCTGCTCAATCTTGGTGTGCAGCAGCAGCTCTGTAGCTGACTGTTTGTGATCACTACCATGTGTGACCCCCTTTGATCTTTTTTCTATTCATAGGGCAAAATCGTGTCAATTACAACAAGGAGCGCAAAACACAACCTATCTGGATGGCAGAAGAGCTGCTCCAGTTCTTTGTGTGATGAAGAAATGACGATTATTTCTTTACTTTTGCGATGAACAGATGATTATTCTGCATACAAAGTGCACATAATTTTCACTTTCTGCATTGCATTCAGGTGGTATAAAATTGCCTGTGGGTGTGTGTGTGTGTGTGTTACGTGAGGCTACGGCTAAGCAGGCCCTGAAATGAGAGGAGGAGGTCCTTGTTTTCTGCGCCGAAGATCTGGTCTGCCTTTTCGAGGGTCTCCTGCACCACCACACCAATATAGTATAAGTATACCTCAAGATCTGTATCCGAAAGAAACCACAAATACAGCTGGAAACTGAAAGTGAGGGTTACCTCTTGGGATTGCCTGTGAGCGTTGAGCTCCTTGATGTTGGCGAGGAAAGCAGCAAACTGTTCGTACGACAGACGGCTCCTGCGGATGAAGAAAAAAGGAGACAAATAAATTGATGACATGTTTTCGTACCAAGAATCCAATGTTTTGCAGGCTATGGTATACCAAAAGGAAACGAGAGCTACCTCGCTTGACGGAAGAACTCCTTGCCATCTATCCTCGTCGTGCGCCCTGAAACCAAAAACAGAAGAACAACTACGTACTTAGCGGAGAGAATGAAGAGCAATCTCCAGATGAATGAGCTAGCTCCTGCGAATGCTGATGAACTCTTGTGTCGAACAAAAAGGACTACCTGAGACTGAGTGCCCACGAGGGGGCGAGTTGGCCGCAGAGGACATCTTGCTGGAGGGGAGCCACGCCGACATCGCCATGTGGCCTTCGAGCCGCGGGGAAGTGGCGGCGCCGGCGCCGCTGCTGCCGGACGACAGCTTCGGCGACACGGCCATGGAGTACCGTCGAGGGGAAGAGGCGCGGGACGCCAGCTTCGGGGACACGGCGGTGGAGTATCTCCGGGCGGAGGCCGCGGAGGAGGACCTCTGCTTCGGCGCCGGGTCGGCGATGAGGCGCGGGGTCATGTGCGTGATGGTGAGCTTCTGCTCGAACGGCCTTGCCACTGTCAACGTGCACACAACAGAAGCATTGTTCAGAATCCTGTAGTTGTGCTGCACTGCAGATACGTATTATTGGAATGTTGTTGATCGTGACTGAGCGCATACCTTCCTGGTTCACGCTTTCGGCTTCCGAAGATCCGTCGGCTCGGGTGGTGGATGCAGGAGCAGGATTATTGCTCGCGGACGCGTCGTCTTCGGGGTGGTCGCGAGAAGAATTAGTTAACACAGATGGAGCACAATGAGCTGCTAGAGATGAACATTGTCCAAGAGGGAGAGCAGTGATCAAAAGAATATATACCTCTCCAGGAACTTGCTTTGGCGACCGATTGCTCGCAGGTCCTGATGTCCACTGTCTCCTGACTCTGCAGAGCACGAGACACGTAATGATTCATGACTAAATACTAGCAATGCATACACTGGTCTTCGGTTACAGAGGACGGCAACAGTGGCCATTGCCCGACAGAAACAGGGGACAGAGGATCGGTTTAAACTGGAGGAGCTTACTGAAGAATTGTCGTCCCCCAGTGTCTGCATCAGGTGTCTCTTGAACGTCTCCAGCTGCAAGCGGAAACCCACCAGAAAAGTTAGTGATAGTAAACGCGAGGAGAACAGCCGTGTGATCGCAGATCACAAATGGCGTCACCTTGGCGAGGTCCCTGGCCAGCTTCCTGGACGTCTGGACGAGCGAGTCCCTCTCCTTCACCAGCTTAGCCTACACGACAAGAAGAAGAAGACCAACGACAAAATCTCAGCACCAGCTAGCAACCGGCAAAACCGAGGCGGCGAGGCGGTCGAGGTCACGTACGTTGTCATCGAGGACGGCGCGGAGGCGGGCGTCGGCGTCGCGGAGGGCCTGGTCGAGCTCCTCGGCCCTGTCGGCGAGCTCGGCGGCGAGGCGGTCCTTGTCGGCCAGCTTCTGGCGGAGGCGCGCGGCCTCGTGCTCCAGGCGGGAGGCGCGCGCGGCCACGGCCACGGCGGTGATCTTGCGGGCCACCTCCAGCTGGTCGTACGGGTCCGGCGGCAGCGCGGCCACGATGGCCTCGGACAGCCCGGCGCCCTCGGCGGGAGGTTGAGGCGCCGGCGTGGCGGCGTGGGCGCTGGGGGTATGCGTCATCGGGCGACTGGGGTTGGAATGGAGTGCCGGATCGGACGTGGTGGTGGTGGTGAGATCCGAAGCGGGGAGGAGGAGGTTATCGGGGGGCGGGAAGGAAGGAATGTGGTGCTGCTGCTAGTGGAGGTGGCGATCGAGGAGAGGGGCGCGGCCGTCAGCTTGCGTTTGAATATATGCGTCGCGCACGTCGAGTTCCGTCTTGGCTCTTGGAAAGCGCCTGCCACGTCCCATCCGGGGAAGATACGAAAAATCCCTACGAAACAGCTACGGGAACAGGGTCGGCCCCCCGTGGTCCCAGCCTGTACTCTAGTCTGTAGACATTCTTTTTGTGTTTCAATCAGAGAGATTTATTCAACCAATGAATTCCTGGTATCATTACTAACAAGCTGGTGAGCAGGAAAGAGGGTCTCGAACCAGTTCAACTTTCGGTAATCGTCAGAGTGCATGCATGTTTTGCACAAAGATGGACCGATACATTAGCTGGTCGGTTTACATGCTGAATATCAAAAGAAAAAAACAAGAAAGCTAGCTCTTCAATTTCTAGTAATACCGATGCCACCACAGACAAGCTATAATGCCGAGTCTTTCAAAAATTAACAATCTCTAGACAATCTGTTTCCATTATCTTACGGGAGAATCAACATAGCTTTGTAAATATCACCCCATCTCGCAACGCCATCGTCTCACCAATGAACGGATCAGAGACCCTGTAGACATCTTCCCGGCCGTACGTTTGGCATTTCCGCTCGTAGTCGTAGTACGATCGATGAAGGCTCGGTATGCGCTGGTGCTGAACTCCACCGGCGACCGTGTCTGCTACGATGTAGTAATTGATTTCTGCGGGAATATTTATAACTAAGGGATAATTGAAAGCTTACACAATTCAGTCGTTGTAGTATAGTGGTAAGTATTCCCGCCTGTCACGCGGGTGACCCGGGTTCGATCCCCGGCAACGGCGTGAAACTATTTTTGCGTTTGATGGCTTAGTTCATTTTTGTCCGCTCGGTCTTTTTTTTTTGCCTGCTCGGTCGATGTGGGCTCATTGCTCACTGGGCCATACACCGGACCCGGGTACTCCTTATATGACTTCCTCAAAACCTGAATTTGTCCTTTTGCTATATAAAAATTTCCCCTGAAAATACTACATAAAAAACCCTTAAGAAGTACAAATTTATTTCACTAATTTTATATAATCAGTTTAATTATTTGTAAAGTCTTAGTGTGCTGTAAAATATATACTTTAGAGAAAAGTTATTGTATGTGAAGAAATTATACTCACATACATCAAAATAATATCCGTGCATTCGAATATGATGTTCATATATTTAAAATTATTCTCGTGAAATGTCCATATAATTCAAAGAGATGTTCGTGTTTAAAAAATAATAAAGGTTAACATGTTCCAAACAAGTGGTCATGTAAAATAGTACCCCCCTCCGATCCAAAATAAGTATCGCAACTTTGAACTAAGGTTAAGGGAGTATGTTTTAAAATGTGGGGCCTAGCAAAGGACAAAACCTGAATTTGTCCTTTTGCTATATAAAAATTTCCCCTGAAAATACTACATAAAAAACCCTTAAGAAGTACAAATTTATTTCACTAATTTTATATAATCAGTTTAATTATTTGTAAAGTCTCAGTGTGCTGTAAAATATATACTTTAGAGAAAAGTTATTGTATGTGAAAAGAAATTATACTCACATACATCAAAATAATATCCGTGCATTCGAATATGATGTTCATATATTTAAAATTATTCTCGTGAAATGTCCATATAATTCAAAGAGATGTTCGTGTTTAAAAAATAATAAAGGTTAACATGTTCCAAACAAGTGGTCATGTAAAATAGTACCCCCCTCCGATCCAAAATAAGTATCGCAACTTTGAACTAAGGTTAAGGGAGTATGTTTTAAAATGTGGGGCCTAGCAAAGGAGAAATCACCACAGCGACGTCTTGCAAACGTCTAGTGTGACTTTTGTTCTTTGTTAGTCGGATTTTATTAAGGCAAATCATTAGCAACACAAAAGCTACGAGAAAATAGGATTTGCCGCACACACAAAAAAGATGAGAATATGCCAAGGAGTAGGTTCACCTGCAACCTGTCTCACGGGTGGGATCTCAATATAAACAATTAATACAAGTATGATAACCCCGCAAAAAAACACAAGTATATAAATAAAATAAAATACTTTGCAAGTGATAAGCGGACAATTGTATCCAAAAAAGCCAAGCAACTTATGAACAACATGTTTTATGAATGATTCGCATGAGGTTG